CTGAAACAACATAAACTCACATTTCCTGTAGGGTGCCCATGGTCTGTGCTTGTCTGTGTCTGGAGTCGCCTTGGATCCTCCTCGAACCCGAGGGAGTCTGACCTAAATCCTCAGCAGCTGGGTGTTGCCAAGTGACCTTGATTTCATTTTAATTTCTGTGATCTGCGATTTAAATCAGATAGATTTGTAAATATACCTGAAATGGAAAAAATAACAGAAACAGCACATTAAAAAACACTTCCAGTTTGAAGTAACTAACACTTTCAGACAGCAGATACAAAGGTGAGTCATTTCGGGTTGTATGCCGGTTAGCAGTATGTGTTAAATAAGCTTTATTTCGTGTAGGTTAGCGTGACAACAGCAAAGAAACATGGAAGAAGAAATGATGCGAGTGGAAGAATGAGAAGTAAAAAGAAACATACAGGGTGTACTGGTTTTATTAGCTGTGCACAACCCCCACCAGCACAAACCCCACCAATCACACTCGGCCCCCACCGGCACCGACCCAGCCAATCACAGTCAGCCCCCACCGGCACCGACCCAGCCAATCACAGTCAGCCCCACCGGCACCGACCCGGCGGATCACACTCAGCCCCCACCCGAAAAAAAAAAAGTTCACGTTATGTATACAGTATATAAGGATATTGTATATTTTGTTCAACTCTTAATGTCTCTTTCCAGTCCTTGTTTCATACCAACAAAACGCCCTTTTTACTCCCTTTAACAAACCAAAAAATAGTACTTCTCTGACTTAAAATAGCAACAAAACCGGTATTACCATCTGCCTCGTTGGGAAAGGGATCTGGAGGATGTCACCGGATGGCAGGTAAAGCACTCCTCTCACCGCTGTTAGGGTAGCGTCCCCAAGACCCTTCTTTAGCCCGATTTAACCAATTTCCAAGAAAACAATCCGCGCTCTTACTGTATACGGATGAAGATTATCTAACTTCAAGGAGAACTGTATAACTTTCCGGTAGTCAATCCAACGTCGGCGTTATTCACTACCCAGAAACAGGACACAGAAAACTGTCCTTTCGGAACTTTCAGTCGGGACTCAGCATACAAAGAAAAACCACTGAGTTGACGTTAATGGAAAAGGAGGAAACTCCGCTTTTATCCTCTGATAGCTCGGTTCAGTATGCTAGTAACAAAGAGCTTTCGATTCCAAAAAGTCAGTCTGCTTAGCCGCACCCATGGAACACTCCCGTTATATAATCAAATGTTAATGTAATTGGTAACGGGAAGGGAGATGGGGTAATGGGGACGCGACGAACAATGACAGCAAAGATGGAGTTGTATTTTACATATAGGCTACAGTAGAACCTTGGAACTCGAACGCCTCTTAACTTGACAAACTCGGAGGTCGAACGGGTCTTTCAAATATTTTTTTACTTGTACCTCTACTGAAAACTTGGAACTAGACCATTCCAGCTAAGACTTATGTGGGTTGAGACACGTTCATGAACAGGTCGGTCGAGAAATCTAGCCGCAACTCGACCAAAAACTCGGAACACGACAAAACAAAACAGAGCTGCTAAAACTTGTACGGACCGAGACGCCTCTCCCCTTCCAAACAATAACCCCTCCACCCCTCTCCTCTCCACCCGCCATTTCCAGTGTGCCATTAGTGCTTTTTCATGTGTGTATTAGTTTTATGTTGATCGTTAATGCTTTTTATTATTGGTTAGGTAGGTAGATTGGTTTAAATAGGCAATCACTTGGGGCTCTGGAATGGATTAAATTCATGTGCATTATTTCTATATGTGAAAATTTGACTTGGACTTCGACCAAAACGCAACTCGACGAGCTTTCTGGAACGAATTAAGTTCGTGTTCCAAGGTACCACTGTATTTTGATCATTTGGAGATACAAAACACCAGCGTGAACTTCAGGGACGGAACTGGCCAAAATATTTTTTTAAAAATAAGTGAGCAAATTAAGTAAATCCCCGCTAAGAATAAATCGAAACCAAAAGACAATCGCTACCCTGACCGCTTAACTGACCACAGAGACAAAACAATTCCCACCCAGAAAATAAATGGCAGCCACTTCCTGCAACTCTTACACATAATTATATACAATATTTACACAAATTACGGAAAGCAACCAAGTCCGAATCGAAATCCAAAAGACACCGAGTTATTTTATAATTTTGGTTATTATTTTACCCACCAAAGTTGTTTGGCAAATGGAAAAAAACTTTGAGATTTCCCACTTAAGAAAAGAAACAGGACCAGAAGAACTGAATTTATTTTTAAACTGTGTAATCAATTTCACAAAAGGGGAAAAAACACTTTGGGCTGATTTTATAGTTAAATGAACTATATGTTCTGTATACACTTAAGATATTAACAATTGTCTACAGGCACCAAAATATTAGTGAAATTCTCTGTGAAGCAAAAATATAAGCAAAGGGAAAATTAAAAAAAAAATAAACTTTGACTCATTTGATTGGTCTATCAATAAAGAAAAAGAAATCACTGAACCATCCATTATAAATCACACACCTGTGACTGACTGCATCACCCCTAAAATTTGACCCCAGCTTCTAACCAAGATCCTGGCTGAATGTGGTCCAAGTAGACAGTGCTTAAGTTCCTACCTGCTGAAGAGAGCAGAAGGCATCAGAGAGAAAGCGGCGAGGAACATGCAGCTCACCATGTTAATCGGGGCAGCTCAGCCTCCTACTGTGTCATGCACAAACACCAACCTTCAACCTGAGCTCCTAGAGCTTTTGATGAACGTTCCAGCACTAAGTGAAGACTTTTCTCACATCAGTCTCAACCCCACCAATCAGACTCAGCCTCCATTAGATACAATCCTCCAATCAGACTCCACTATGCTTTATTAGACACATTGCAGGAAACTCCCTAACAGGTTAAAAAGGTACACAGACGAATCACAAGTTAGACTTACCAAGAATGTGTTATTTCCACGGACAAGTCCTACGACCTGAAGACACAACCAGCTGCTGATAATGTACAAAGCGAAGAAAAGACTGAGAAATGGTCTCCCTTGTTTAATGCATTCAGAGTCTGTCCATGCCTTTTAATTGCAAATATTTGTATGTTATTAAGGTGTTACTGCAGCTTGGCCTGTCAGAGAGCAAAGACACCAGCAACGTGCACTCCGTCACACACCCGATGGCCCATATTCCTGTCATACATGTCACTGTGTCCAGCCGTGTGCATGTTGTTACTGTATCCTAATGAGTTGCTTGGCATTGCTTGTGGTCTATGTCGTAATTTTCTTAAAGAACACAGCTCCTCTTCATCAAGAATTTCCCCGTGGGGTCAAGATTTCCCCCTTGGACCGATTACGTTTATCTTGTGTTGTCTTGCTTTTGCCCTGCCCACCCTGGCTGTAATACTACCAACAATGGGGAAGCCATTCATAAGAGATTTCACCACTGTGATTTTTTTATGCGCAAATGTCTGTTTATACTTGATAAATTATATGTTACATGTAACTGTTCAAATCATACCTGTTCCAGCCAAGTAGTGCTCCAAGAAGTCCTTGAAGCTCTGAGGAGTTTCCAGTTGGTTCCAGACATGGCAGAAGTGGAAATAGGAGATCACATTGTCCTTTGGGTTCCGCATCACGTACACAATCTGCCACAGAGAGAGAGAGGACTCGTCATCACCCACCTCCCTCGTCTCCTGGTCCTTTATCTGCTCCACAACAAAGCTCACCTTGGCTCCCTTTTCTCTCAGCCCCCGCGGCATCAGCGCAGGGGTCAAGTGGCTGGCAAACAGGCGAGGGGAGGGCCGAGATACATAATCGGGTCGGCCGTCAGGATATTCCAGCCACGGCATCTTGTCCAGGTTGGTAGTGTAGGCG